TTCCAATCATTCAGGCCCCTATATTGAACCCGTACCAGGTCTGTTTCTTGATCTTCGTTTAGGGTGTGGGGTTAAAGGTGCAGAAGCCGTCTCATGATGATGATGGTGACGACATGGATGGACAATGATGATCTTATTGATAATGATGCTTACTTACTTCTCTGAAGTTTTCATTGTTTAAAATGCTTTCGGGACATCGCTTTCTATTTTTTTTGCTGCCGCGCTCTTGCTACGCCTCGTGGATCCCGTGCCGTGTTGCTTCAGCCCGGATCAAGAGCAGGATTGCTTTCATCTTCCTCCCACCTACCGCTCATCCAATTTGGAGTTTTCGTTGCCATGAAGGCGGCGACCATCAAAGCTTTCGTGTCCGTCTTGGCCTTTGCGGCCTTTGAGGCCTTCGCGGCCTTTGAGGCCGCCGACACCCAGCCGAATCCGGAAGCCGACGGCACGAAGGAAGCGTGCCAGTCAGGGAGCCTCATCCAGCACAGTTCCCCTTCCCGCTCGAAGGTGCCTGAGCCTGTAGAGGCAGTGGAACCTGCGATGAAAGAGATGAAGAAGGCGAAGAAGGCGAAGAAGGCGAAGAAGGTGAAGAAGGAGACGCACTCAGATCTCCTGGGCCTCCTTGCCGAATTCAAGAAGGAGGGTCTTGGACATTCGGAAGGTTCCGAATGCCAGCCGAAAGGAGCCCCGGAAAGGGGGGGGGTGGGAGGGGAAAGGGGCGGGGGGGTCCGAATCCGAACCTGCCCGCTGCACGGGCCGTTTTCGGGCCTCTGTTTTTTTTTGCTTCCTGTTTCAAGCCCCGTGACGTCGCAGGAGCCGTGCCCAGCGGCGAGAGGAAGGCGAAGTTCGAGCAGCTCTCGCAGAAGGCCTTCACCCTGGACCTGGATCCTGTCATCGCCCGCCTTGTCAAGAAGGACGACTACGTGCCCCGTCTCGCGAAGAGGGCCGCCGACGAGTACCGGAGGTTCCTGGTCTTGATGGGCATGGGGGAGGCACCCGTCCCCTCGAAAATGGTCGTCGACGCCTGGCAAGCCCACATCATGCCACCCGCCATAACATGTACACACAGACTGGGGAAAACGGGTCGGCTTTAGCAGGGGCTTGAGGTGCTTCTAGGTCCAGTCTTGGGTGCCTTCTGGTAGTCTTTCCCCGGGCCCCCAAACATGTCGGACGTGTTTTGAAGGTACACGAAGATGTACGAGCGGGACTGTCAGGAGGTCTTTGGCCGGCTTCTGGAACATGACCCCCTCCTCCTGGGTCAAGATGCTGAAAGGCTCGAGCAGACGCAGCAGCAGATTTGCGACTACTTCGGCGTGGTTGACCGGCTGGTGTGGTCGGCATCAAGTCCGTCGAAGCCAGTGGCTTTGTCCGAGAGCATGGACCCCGCTGTGACGATGGACCAGTGGTTGGACCACATCAACGAGCCGCCAGCGCTCCGGAAAGGTCTCCTGGCGGAGGACGTCCATCTGATGGTGGCTTCAGAGCACGATTACACGGCCATCAAACACAGGGGGCGCGAGGAGGCCTTGTCTTTCTTCCAGCATTACAACCATGCCACACGCTTCCGCAAGTTCTTGTCCGAGGACAAGGCCGCCTTTGCCCTCGAGATCGCCAAGCACTTCCGCATGGGCGTCGACGTCTTCGAGGTAGATTCTGACGGGAAGATCAGCGACGTGAAGATCTTTATGGCCACCCTGTGGCAGGACTTAGAAGACCTCAACGACACAGGCCTTGCGAACCTCACCATGCACACTGTTGGCAACGGGTCGACTAACGAGAGAACGTTGCCTCCACAGGCCAGGATCTCAGGAGAGCAAAGGAGCACGCGGTAGAGCTGGGGCACATCAGTGAATAGTAGACGCATGTACTCGTAGGTGCATGTAGAAGCGTTGCAAACACTCAGGGGCTGGTCCAAGTCGGGGAGACGGGCAATCTGACCAAAGCCGCCATGGAGGCGTGGATGCACGACCTCAACGAGGTCACGGAGGAGAAGGAAGATCTTCTGGCGGACGACGTTCGCCTGGTGCTGATGACGCAACTCACCGCTGCCCCTGAAATTCATGCAGGGAAGCCTCAGGTGGAAGCTTTCTTCCGTGATTGGGAGCACGCCGCAGAGGCTCGGGCCTTCCTTTCAACGGACGGAGGCGCCTTCATGGTCGAGGTCAAGCACGGTCCCCCTCAACCACGGATGGCCGCCCAGGTTTTCGAGGTGAGCTCCGGCAAGATCCACAACATCAAGATCTGGGTCGCCTCCCTGAACTTGGACGAGCAGGACTTGAACGACAATGGCCTGACGAGCGTCTCGCTACTGGCTTCGGGCACCTTGGCTGGCTATCTTCCTGGCCCTTTCTTTCTCTCCCTCTCTCCCGCCTTTCTCCCCTCTCTCCCTCTCCCTCTCCGCTTGTTGTGACTCTTCTCAGGCTCGGCTGAGCCCTCTGGGCCAGAGCCCACGGAGTGCCTGCGCTCCAGCAGCCGACCATCACTGCAGCAGATGCAGAGGTTCAACGCCTCTGCTGAGAAAGTGAAAGCGTTGGACCTGGACGCCGTCGTGTCCGTTCTCGTGGAGAAGGACAAGTACACGCCCGGCAAAGCAGCGGAGCTCACGGAGGAGTACCGCAAGTACCTGGCCTTGGCGAGCAGCGGCCACAACCCGGTGCCGTCGAAGAAGGTGGATGATGCNNGCATGCCCACATCCTGAACACCAAGAAGTACCAGGCAGACACGAAATCGCTCTTCGGCCAAGTCCTCCACCACGAGCCGGCGAACCTCCTCCTGGAGCAGCAGGGCATGAGGGAGCAGAAATCTTCCATGGACAACATGCTTTCCCACACGAAGATGCAGCTCTGCGACTACTATGGCCGCGTCGATGAAGCTGTGTGGTCAAAGGACAGCAAGAGCGACCTTGCGCTCTGCGCCCCTCGGATCAGCTGCGTTTGATACGTCTTTTTTTCTCTTCCTTCAGTGTGGAGACTTCTAAGATCTCGGGGTTGGCCCCTTCCGCCCTACACTGAGGCGTGCGGCTGCATGTGCTCCTGCGGATGCGCCTGTGCCTGCTCCTGTGGATGTGCGCCGTCCCCGTCGCCGTCGCCGTCGCCGTCGCCGTCGGGCTGTTGAGGGCCAGAGCCTAAGCCTGCCGCAGGGCTCATGAAAACGGCGCGCTTGATGAGTCAACCCAGCTGACGGCAGGACAGTTCGGAGCAGGATCAGCTGAAGGCCGCTGCCTCAAAGGGTCCTACAGTCCTACAGGTTCCCGTGCTTGTCACATGCCACGTTCGGAGCCCTTGTCTGTCCGAGGCCCACGCGAAGACCTCGGTTGTTCAGGACGCTTGTCAACGCGCCAACGCACTTGTTCCATCTTGTTCCCTTTGGCGCCACTCATTTGAACGTGGCCGTAAGCACCCAGTTGCACGCGTAGGCGTTCGCATGCTCGAAGAAAAAGGATTTGATTCTGGTGGAGTGTTTCTGGCATCCCGGCCATGTTCATGAAAGGTTCAGAGTTTAGGTGCCCCTCCCGTCTGAGGTTCCTGGCGGGTTTTAGGTTTAAGGTTTACCGTTAGACTTGATGCGATTGAGTTTATAGGTTTAGGTATTCACTCTGCACCCCACCATGACTCATGGGTTCATTGGCACAGTCTCATGGGCGATTGCAGCGTCCCAGCAGACATGCGGCTATACGATGCTAGGTTACTAGGGTTGTGCGGCAAGGTCTGCTGAAGTCCAGTCATCAGCTTCTGTCTACCCACTAAGTCGCCGGAGCCCTCGCTCCGCATGTTGTTTCAGCCATGGAGTCCCTGGAGTTTGTGTCGGAGAGCAAAAGCATTGCGCCTACCAACAGCTCAAAAGGCCTGGCTTGTATTTTTGAAGCTTCACTTGTCCCTGAGCGCCAGAGGCCCCCCAGACCCCAAGCTGCAAGGAGAGAGCCTTCTCTGAGGATCCTTGCAATCTCACCATGTCTCGCCGGTCGCGGAAGCCGACTAGCCACGCTTCTGAGC